AAAGAATATATTCAGTCGGATTTCATTATTGACCATCTGACAATATCCATGTGTAAAGTCATCTCTTGTGTTGTTGAAAGAGTGTTTGCTATAACCGGTGTGTTCTCTTGGCAGAACTCTGTTAGCCTTTGCCCTGCATCATTTTGTACCTGAGGGCTGAGGCTGTTCCTTTTCTGAAGGAAGATGTGGAGGCCATGAGAACAGGCCTTACATTACAGATTACCAACTACTGGTGGGATAATTGACCAAGAGCCTCCACCTGGGCCACTTATAGGTGAGCAGCCCAGCCAATAATTGAGCTTAGCAGGGATACTAAGGCAGGCTCCTTCCTGGGAGACACAGAATTCTGGTCATTTGTTTGGGCTCCCTGAAGGTCTTGGCCAACGTTTCTGAGACTAACTATACTGCAGGAGGCTCCACACCAACTTTCCTACTGTCTCTTCTTCATTTGGGGTCAGACTCACATTCTAGTCTGACAACTCTCCTAGCCTTCCCAGGCTCAGTCCCTATTTTCATTTACAAGTGTTTCCCACACTAAATACCCTCACAAGCTTTATCCTTGGCCTCTGCTTCTCAGAGGACACAGATTCACACAAAAAGTTACCATGCCTCCAGAATGATAAATCCCTGTTGGTTAGAACCTGTTAGTAGAGTTACCAAGAAGAGAAGAGTAAGTAACAGGAAGGAGCAGAGGAGAGACCAGTCCCTAGGTGGGAGACCCTGAGGACACAGCCTCTCAAACAGGGCAAGGGTAGTGCTACCACCTGGTGGGCATTTTAGGCAAAGCACCGTTGTGCCTTCCCACTGTTCTGTGATCCTGCTCAAGAAGGTGGGAGTGAAGAATCTATTCTGGGCCTTGGGATCCCCTCTCCCTCATTTCAGAGAAGGCAATGGCACCCCACTCCAGTACTCTTGCCTGGAGAATCCCATGGATGGAGGGGCCTGGTGGGCTGCTGTCCGTGGGGTCGCTAAGAGTCAGACATGACTGAGCGACTTCTTTCACTTTTCACTTTCATGCATTGGAGAAGGAAATGGCAACCCACTCCAGTGTTCTTGCCTGGAGAATCCCAGGGACAGGGGAGTCTGGTGGACTGCCATCTATGGGGTCGCACAGAGTCGGACACGACTGAAGTGACTTAGCAGCAGCAGCAGCTCCCTCATTTACAGCATAAATTATAAGAATTGAATTCCAGATTCAAATGTTTATCCTTTAAAGTCAACACCATGGTTGGACATCTGTGTAGATACTAAAAATCACTAGCTTGTATACTTATATGGGTAAACTGTATGATCTGTGAATTATATCTCAATAAAGCTGTTTTTAAAATTCAGCACCAGAAGAGGAGTTGGAATGAACGGAAACTTCTATTTTGTTTAAAATAATTTTTATTTTTAAAAGGAAAAAAAATAGAAGAATTTTAATTTTAATTGGGAGGATAGTTGATTTACAATGTTGGGTTAGTTTCAGATATTATGAACTGAAGCTTTTAGAACATGAAGATGAGGATGGTTGGTTTCGGTTTCTTGGGATATCCCCAAGCAGATGTGCAAGAAGCTCGCCCAGCAGGTACTCAAATACTTAGTAAATTTACATGTGCAGTTAAATGGAGCCACTTCTTTCATTGCCTTGTGACCCACCCTTTAATCTCTACACCCCTGCTCCTACACATCAGGCATCTCTAGCCTCCTCACTTTTCAAGGTCTCCTGAGAGATTCTAGTCTAAACATTCAGAAACTTTTATTGGAATTCTTGACTTTTTAGCACCATTTGGTACCATCCATCAGCGCCTACTTCTTCAAACACCTCTCCTCTGACTTTCCTGTCTTGAAAATCTCTGGTCCTCCTCCTGCCTCTAATGACTCTTTCTCCCTTTTGGCTCCTCTTCTGTCCTCCAACTCAAGTTCTTTTCTTTCTTTATTCAATCTAATCCTTTGGCAATCTTAACTGTTCCTGTGACTCCAATAAACTTCTAGCCACACAATCCCCATATTACTGTCCATAGTCTTTATTGCCCGCTTAAACTTTAGCCCAAATTGTTCAACAGACTCTCAGATTTCATCATCTTAACACTTTAGACTTAAATATGCTTAAAGCCAAATTCATCATCTTCCTACGGAAACCCACTCCTCTTTTGCTCCATCTCCCCACCCACCTTGTAATAGCATCACCACTCTTCCAATTGTCCAGGTTTGAGACCTTAGATCTGCCTCTGATTTCTCTCCCTTGTACCCCACATCCTTCAGGTACATCATAATCCCAGCAGATGCCACCTAAGAGATTTCTCATATATCTTTCCTTTCTAGTCTTATTTCACCGAATGAAATTCGTACTTTCATTATCTGTCCCAGAACTAACACAGCAATTTTCCAACTGATTTGCTTGCTTCCAGTTTCTCCCCAAACCAACCTATCCTGTTGTCAGACTGTTTTCCATAAAACATAGCTTTAATATAGTTACTCTGTTCAGACGCTTTGTCTGTCTTTCTGTTGCCTAATGAATAAAATGGCTGGTATATGAGGCCTTCCATATTTTCTCCCAACCGTTTTTCCTGGCTCCCTTTCTATACTCCAGCCAAAGTGGGATTGCTCTTCCAAAAGAGACTTACTTTCGGCTTCCCACCTACCTGGCTTCGTACACGCTGCTGCCCCTGCAGGTTGATAGCGGGAAGTCATTACCACTCTCGTCAGACCCCATTTGGAAGCCTGACGCCACCATAAGTTCTCTCTCTGATCCTCAGTTTCTTCCACCTGTAAAATAGAGATAATGAAAAGCTAATTGTATGAGAGATAACTGAGATCATATTAATACACAGTAAAGTATCTGGCGTTTTGGTTAAGCGGTAACTAGCTGGGAGGGATTGCGGGCAGGAGGAGAAGGGGTCGACAGAGGATGAGATGGCTGGATGGCATCACCGACTTGATGGACATGAGTTTGAGTAAACTCCAGGAGTTGGTGATGGACAGGGAGGCCTGGCGTGCTGTGATTCATGGGGTTGCAAAGAGTCGGACACGACTGAGCGACTTAACTGAACTGATACCTTATTGTGCTGTGCTCAGTCGCTTCAGTCGTGTCCCATTCTTTTCGACCCTGTGGACTGTAGCCTGCCAGGCTCCTCTGTCCATGAGCTTTTCCTAGCAAGAATACTAGAGTGGGTTGCCATTTCCTTCTCCAGGGCATCTTCCAGACCCAGAGATGGAACCCATGTCTCCTGCATTGCAAGCAGATTCTTTATTGCTGAGCTACCAGGGAAGCCCCAACTATACCTTATTTCTGCGTCTTAAAATATTATCCATCCTTCAAAATCCATTTTGGTGCCATTCCCATTCAAAATTCCCTTCTTGACCTTCCCAATTCCAAACCCAATCACCTTCCTTCCTCTGTGAGATACTGTACTTCCCATTATGTTACTTATCATTGTAGCTATTTTCATACCTGCCATACATTTCACCCATATTCTTCCCCAGCTGTAACCTCCAAGGAAGTAGCAATTAGGCTTAAAGCAGGCAGGTGGTAAGCAAGTCTACTACATGGTGACTCCCATGTCAAGAAATGAACACACTGATGTCTCACTGATTTGGAGAGCTAGTGCTGTGAAGGCAACCAGCCAAGAGGTTCTCTGAGTCTGAGATAAAAATGAACCTCAGATTTTTACGTACATAACTACTGACAACTGGCTTTTTAAAAATAATTATTTTTTCCAAATATGAAAGTACTCATAATCATTTTAGAAGAAATTAGCAAAACAATAAGCATCTATAATCACACCATCCAGAGCTACCATTACTAAATATTTTTATTCTTCAATATTAGTCCTTTTTTGATACATCTATTTAAGTATATACAGAGAAAATTTGAATTCTCTACATGTATATGCCAGAAGTTTTAACATAACATACACTGAGCTTTTTCTTATGACATTAAATGTTACTCGAAAATGTTGCTAATTTCTGCACAACAATCCATTATGTGAATGTGTCTTAATTTATTTGATCTTTTTTCTATTGTTGGATATTTGGGCTTCCTCTTTTCCAGCTTTTTAAAAAATTAATAACTTATCAATCATGCTGATAGAGATACCAAGGTAGATTTCTCGATTTGAGATAACAGGGCCAGTGGAACAAAAGAAAAGAAAGCTCTCGGTTCTGAATTCCTGTTCAGGAAGTCTTTTAAAAAAATTTGAAAAATGATTGACCTTTATTGAGGTGTGATTGCCATACAAAAATCTGTATTTATTTAATGTGTACCACTTAGTGAGCTTGGCAATAAGTGTACATCTTTAAAACCATCACCTCAGGAAATTTTAATCAATTTGTAGTTTCACCAGCTACTCTAGTTCTTTTATTCATTTGTCTCCTTTTCAGCTTTTAAAGAGACAACCAATTTCAGGAGTGAAAAAGTGGTTGGATTCCCTGTTTTTGGAAAGAAGCTAAGGCATGAGTAATTTAAGCTTAGCTCAGCTCCCATTCCAGTGACCACGAGGAATAAAGATCAGTGTAAGTTTTAATATTTCTTGCAGTGTTGTAACTTTCTTTTCATTTAGTCTTTTAACTTAGTCTGTTTCCTTGTGCGTGCTATCTGTAAAACATGTCTGCCTCTCAGAAAACGTGGTGTGCTGCAGGGACAAGAAGCGGGAAGAGAGATAGGAATCATCGTTCCATTCCTCACTGACCTCAGAAAGTTGGATCTCCTGCCTCAGAGCACCTGTTGCACCTGTTGCTTCTCCCTTACAGTACTTTTTATGATGATAAACCATCAATTATTTGTATATTTGTTTAATGCTTATCTTCCTCACCAGAATGTAAATTTCATGAGGCAGGGGGCCCTAATGATCTCCTTTGCTATTTCAGTAAACATCTGTGGAGTGAATTATGATTGGAATGAGGACTCAGGATGGAAGAAGATGTGGCTTCTCTAATGGGGCTCTCAGAGGGAGGGACAAGGAGGTATGATGGATGTTTGCCCTGAGAGCCTGAGGTGATGCTGGAAGAGTGAACCCCGAGGGACCTGCCCTGGGGCTCCAGTCTCCCCTCTTCACAGGCTTGGGACAGTCAGTCAAAGTGCCTCATGTGAAATGTGGTGAGTGGCTCTGAGGAGAACCGCATTCTCTCACGTCCTCTTCTCCGAGCCTCTATCCTCCATCTCCTTTCCCTCTCATGCCTTTCTTTCTCCTCTCCTCCTCTTTCTTTCTAGCCTGATTTCTCCTACTCACATGGAGCTCTTTCCTTCCCTAATCCACCCCCTCCAGCAGGTGGCCTGATTAACACTCCACTAACACACCAGCTTGGAGAAGGCAATGGCAGCCCACTGCAGTATTCTTGCCTGGAAAATCCCATGGACGGAGGAGCCTGGTAGGCTGCAGTCTATCGGGTCACTATGAGTCGGACACAACTGAGCGACTTCACTTTCACTTTTCACTTTCTTGCATCGGAGAAGGAAATGGCAACCCACTCCAGTGTTCTTGCCTGGAGAATCCCAGGGACGGGGGAGCCTGGTGGGCTGCCGTCTGTGGGGTCACACAGGGTCGGGCATGACTGAAGTGATTTAGCAGCAGCAGCAGCAACACACCAGCTAAAGAACCCTGCCTGCCACAGCAGGAGCTCTGCCTAGAAAGGAAACTGCTGATGGATTATGTCAGGACACGTGAGCTCAGATCCATTTTCTAGGGCTTAGTCAAGTGACAACCTCTTTATTTTTGGTTTGTTTATTTTTTGGCCGAACTGCGTGGCATGCAGGGTCTTAACCACTGGTCCACCAGGGAAGTCCTAACTTTGTTTTTGTAGATAGTGTCATCTGTATCTTACCACCTAGGTTTGATTGCTTTCCTCCATCTGTCTAAATCTCTGTAGACAGTATGGACAGATGGACATCAATGTCCATAGGGATCCTCTAGAAATGGGAGGAAAGCTGAGGGTCTCATTCACAAGGATTCCTTTTAGAGAGATGGAAGATGCAAAATGTATTCCAGAAGGACTCTGAAATCATGGAGGTAAAAGCAAAGGATGAAAAGGCTAATGTGGGTCCTTATAATGAAGAGGTGGGTCACATCCAGCCTCTCTGTGAGGTGTCTGGTGAAACAAGACAGAGGCTATTTTCTTGCTGTCTGGGCTGGGACAGCTGCTACAGGACTTCATTTACCTGGACTTTCCAACAGAACTGACCTGTTCACTTTAATATATTATGGAGAAGCTGGGGCTTGTGCAGGCCCCCTGGTGTAGTGCTGTGGTGTTTGTTACATGGAAATAGGCAGGGGAGGAGTCCCTTTGGCTTAGCTTACTCAGGTTGGTTTGCTTGATCCACCATGTTTGTTGTTGAAAACTTGGGCTACTCAAATTTCAGTATTTTCACCAGGCAGATGACTATGGTGGTGTATCAGTGAAGGTTAAGCTCTTATACCAGGCTTCTTTCTTACAGATAAGTGATTTCCAGTTTCTTCCATTGAGAATCATTGCCATAGCCACTGTTACTTATAAAGGGTTTCTTACTGTTTATGTCTATTCGGGTGAAAAATGTTGAGTCACTATGTAGAGTATAGAAGGTGGTTTGCAGCTTGCTTCTCCCTGTAGAACCTGGACTGTGAATCACCCTAGAATTCCTTTCTCTAAAGTTTGGAAAGTGTCCTATCTCAGAGGAACTTCCAAGGAAAGCTTATAAGGAGATGGAGCACAAGATTCCATCCTCTAGACTTTGATGTCTCTGAACTCTTTGTCAAGGCCTATCAGATCCCAGGAACCCTGGAGAAGCTGGCGGGATGGGGAGGCTGTGAAAAGGAGTGTATCGGTGGCAGGCATGGGGTAACCCTCTTCCTGGTGACTGCATGAGGAGAACATGTGACCAAAAAATTTGTCTTACTGAAGCAATGGGACCAAGTCACCAAGTGGCTAAGAGGCTTCATGATGAAGGGGTACTTTTGATTTGAATGAGTCACAAGGCTGGTCATGTGGTTATAAAACTCTTCTAAGAGGTGCTTTCAATTAAAGACTACTTGTATAATACTTTCCAGGTGAAATGCTATCATTCCGTTCTGTTGGTGTCAGCTGAAGTGGAGTGGGTGTGGACACAGAGGGTTCTTAGACCCCACTTGTCCTTCAGGGGTGATGACAACAGAGTCCAGGCTGAAGGTGTCTCTCTTAACCATGAACTGCTGTGTCTGAGTGGAATGCACTAGGGTGCGTGTCATGCTAGGATTATTAAATTCGTTGTGTGTTTTATAGTGCACAGATTATAAAGACTTCCATTTCAGTTCTAAAATAATCCTTAAATTTAGCAGGATGGGCCTTATTATCAACACTTTGCAGATAGGTAAACAGATCCTCAAAGGGACTCTTATTGTTGCCCAGAACCATCTGATTAGTGTGTTTTTCAGCCAAGAGTTAAACCCGGGAGTTCTGGTTTCAAGTTCAAGCCTCTTGGGTTTTGCTGAGCCGATAAGAGGCAGTCTGAGCCACAGGACTCCTCTGAAATCAGTTGCTTTTTTTTTTTAACAGAGTAGAGTCAAGTGCCAGTAGGAGCTGGAGGGCCTGGAGAACTGCTGGTCATTAAATCATCAGGAGATCCCACTTTATTACCACATTTGCAACTTCTTGAGTAAGATTTAACAACCTAAGAATGCAGAATGCCTTTTGAGAAAATTTCTCAAGCTGTTACATGACCTGTGCCCGCTGTGGGCCTTATAGATTATACTCCATGGGGAGTGCTCAGGACTGAGCAGGGAAGAACAATGTTGGCCAGGTAGGTGACCGAGACAGGTCCCATATCCCTGGCCTTAAGCTCCCTGCGGCCTGGGACCTGTCACGTGAGGAACCTCCTTGAGTCCATCCAAACCCCTGCAGATCATAAGCCTCCCTTAGGATATAAAATCATCCCAAAGGAATCAGAAACCATCTCCATTTCCTCTCCCCACTTCTTTGGACTCTAGCTTCCTGTTCATCGCCTCTGTCCCAGAGCTCAGTTTTGCAGGCCAAGGGTCCTTTTGCAATTGTTTGAAAAGCCTGTGGGTGAGAGGTAGAAACTACTGTTCCTTCCCTGTCAGATGGTTTCAGATAAGATGGGCAGTACAGGCCCAGTCCTGATCTTTTGTCTTCCCAAAGAAAACCATCACCTTGGAATGTGTCTCATTAACCAGTAAAATGCAAAGAGTGGAACTCTTCCGTCTGGGAGGGCTCACAGAGTTGCGTCAGCTACAGCCCAGATGGAGAGTTCATTCCCTTCATAGTGGCCCCGGGCTGGGGTGGGAGAGCCATGCAGCAGGCCCCGGGGGTAGGACAGATGCTGTCTCAGATGCTAAAATACACTCATGAGGAGCTGAGCCCAGCCCTGAGTGGTCTAGGATCAGGATCTTTTTATGGGGACACCTCAGACTGCTGACTTCCACCAGGCTGATGTTTCACTGAGCACAAAGGTGGGTGGGCTTCAGGCCAGAGCAGCAGTAGAGTAGCCCAGAGAGGGAGTCAGGAGCAGGAGAGAGGGCAGCCCCCACTCCAGCCATCAAGGAGGAGGTAAGCATCTGCATCCGTGGGGCCAGCTCTGTTCTGAACCACAGCTCATGCCTGTAGGCAAGCCAGGGCACTTGCTCAGGGCCTGGAGCTAGGGCAAAGATTGCTGAGGGTCCATGCCAGGGATATGATTCAGAAACCTAAGATTGGGGGGAAAAGCCAATCAGCCTTGCTATTTCTCCTGCTGCATTTTGTGCTCCTGCTCACGGTTCCAGGTCCAGCATTAAGCAGAGGCTAAGATAAGCTTGTCAGCGGAGCTGGGTCCAGAGGTACACTCCCCTTAAGGAGTCCCAGGTCTCACAGCCCTTGCCCTTTGCTCTCTGGTCAGCCTTCCCAATCGGTGCTTAGCCTCTTCCCTAAACAGCTCTGCACCCTGCGGGAAGACCTTTCTGGCAGTATAGCTCAGCTGTAAGCTAGAGTGTGGACCCTCTAAGAGGACAGACTTCAGAAAAACAAATACAGGTGATCTGGACCTCTGCGGTCAGAGACCCTGTCACAGAAGTGTCTGAAAGAGGGGGACTTCCTGTCATGATCCTTCGCCCCAGCTGTGAGGGTGGAATGATGGAGAAGAGCCCCCCTTCTTCACCCCACCAGGGGTCAGCTCAAGGTGAGACCATAACAGAGCCTCAGACACCATTGACTGAGCCTGGAGGGAGGCAGCACTTTTCAGTCCCTGGGCCTGGCCTGGGTCCCCACCCCGATCCATGGCGGCCCTTTCAGGAGCTTTTAGTGAAAATGAGTTCAGACCTGCAGTGAAGTTCCAAGGCCTCCCTTTCCTCCCAGCCCCACCCATTGCTCTTTCATCACCTCCTATCAGGTGGGGGAGCATTCCTCCCAGGCCCCATCTGCAAGCAGCCCTGCTCTCCCCACAGTGTTCACCTCTCTTGCCCCACCTTCCTTCCAAACCCAGTCTCCACACTTTCCTATTCCCCCATCAAACCCCTGCCTCCCAGTTCCCTCCCACCCTCTTTCTTCTTGTCCCCTGCACTTGCTGAGGGGAGAGAGAGCCCCTGGCAGCACTGCCGGTCACTCCCCACCCTCCATCTCCTCTGCTCCCTCCCTGCAGCGGGCACAGACTCCGGTACAAAAGGCTGGAGGCGGAGGCTGCAGGAGACCAGCTGCTCTCACGTTCCCTTCCCTTTGCCCTCTGCTGGCTAGGCTAACCTGTGTCTTTGTTCTCTGTTTTCCAGGTGAGAGTGGGTACCTGAGGTGCCAGGTCCCCTGCCTCATTCCCCATGAATGCTGTGGGAAGCCCCGAGGAGCAGGAGCTACAAAAGCTGGGGAGTGGAGCCTGGGACAACCCCACCTACAGCGGCACCCCCTCCCCTCAAGGGACCCTCAGGATCTGCACCATCTCCAGTGCAGTGCCGCCTCAATCCCAACCGAGGCAGCCTGAAGATGGACCCCAGGAGAAGGCACACAGGACCCTGGTGTCCAGCTGCTGTCTTCGCATCTGTCGCGGCATCAGAGGTGCCTGGTGGGGGGAGGCACCTCCTGAGATACTGGGGTCGGGAGAAGGGGCCAGCTGAGGCTTTGGGAAGGGGATACAGTATGAAGATGTATCTTTGGGGTTTGTGAACTGTCTGTGTCAAATCTGAATGCCCCAGGGTACAGAGGCTAGTGTGGTAGTTTCTCAGAGGGAAAGCCTGGCACAGTCATCTCTTGGGGACCCAGAAGCGTATATGGGGGCTAGTTTGAGGGAAGACATGGATGTGATGATACCCTAGCCTGCCCTATCTGGGGTAAGGTGATGGGAAAAGGGGCTGGGGTGGAAATGAGCATAAATTCCAGGGACTGGTTGGTGGGGTAACTGGAAGGAACCCTGCTGTGGGGATTCTGGACATCTTTCCAATGTCCCTCCCTTTAGGACTTTGGGGAACGACCTTGACTGAAAACACAGCTGAGAACCGGGAGCTGTATGTCAAGACCACCCTGCGGGAGCTTTTGGTATACATCGTGTTCCTGGTGGACATCTGTCTCTGTGAGTAACGTTTGTCTCTGTGTACATCTGTGTGTGATCACACCTGTGTGTACAGCAACTGTGTACACACCTCTGTGGGCAGCGTCTGTGGGGACAGCCTCTTCCACCTGTGTGAGCAGACCATGTCCTAGGATCTTTATATCAATAATAACATTCTATTTTATACCTTTCCAGCTTCAGGCCTTTTAATTAAAAAGTACATGTCACTGAGTTCAGGAGAAAAAGGCAGACTGTGGGAAAACTTCATACAAGTTTCTTTGCCAAGAGTTACAAGGAGGAATCCACTTTTTTGTGTTTGTTTCATTTTTAGGGGAATCCACTTTTTAAGTTCAAGTTCTTGATACTGACTTAGCAACCACTGTTCTCTGTTAGCAGGTGGAAGTTTTTAACCTTCTGTAAAGAGTGGACGACACTCTTTTCTGTTCAGAAAAAAATAGTTTGGTGGGTTTCACATAGTTAACATAGACTATGTTTGATCCACTTTTCTTTGGAGGCAGAAAGGAAAAGATTCAGGCAGGCCTTAGAACTCATATCCCTAATAAAAAGGTTAAAGATGCAAATGGTGTGGTAATCAGTGTAGCTAAGATTCTCCCATGCCAAGGGTATGGAGGGAAGCTTATCTGAAGCTCTATCTATAGATATAAGCTGGGAAGGTTTGGTTTGTCCCTTGAGAGAAGCAAGTGAAAAGCTTCTCTGAGAACTGTAATATTTAACATATTTACATATTTAACATAAATATTCTGCAAGTAGATCAGTGAGTCATGGAAGAACAAATAACTGGAGGTAGTGATAAAGATGGATTGAGCAGATGCTATAAGACCTATAGGTAAGTATGCTTTGTATTTAGTTAATTGCTGCTTTAAGTTCTTGCACAAGTGAATTTTGGTTAGTTTGATGGAGTTGTGTGGGTACGTGTGTGTTGACTGAAGCTGCAGCTTCGATCATACAGCTGGGTGCCTCCATTACTAGGTAACATTATACCTCACAGAGGCCTTCCCTGGTAGCTCAGTTTAAAGAATCAGCCTGCAATGCAGGAGACCCCAGTTCGATTCCTGGGGGTCGGGAAGATCCCCTGGAGAAGGGTTAGGTTACCCACTTCAGTATTCTTGGGCTTCCCTGGTGGCTCAGATGGTAAAAAATAATCTCCCTGCAATGCAGGAGACCTGGATTTGATGCCTGGGTTGGGAAGATCCCCTGGAGGAGGGTATGGCAACTCAGTCTAGTATTCTTGCCTGGAGAATCCCCATGGGCAGAGAAGCCTGGCATGCTACAGTCCACAGGGTGGAAAAGAGTCGGACACACCTGAGCGACTAAGCACAGCACAGCACATACCTCACAGAAGTCTCTGTTCTTTCTAGGTTGCATAAATATTCTGCAAGTAGAATCTGAAGATCTGATAATATAATTTAGGTTAAAAATTTCATCATGTTTGTGAGCCATCCACATTTATATGAGCCCTCTAGGAAAGCTGAGCAGTTGTTTTGGCTGTACTTGGTTGGAACTCATTCTGTGGGGAGAGGGGGGCAGTTCTATGTTTACCATAGGCCATCAGCATGGAGTGAAAGGAGACAGCATGTGGGGAACAACAGTCGACCCAGGGTACGTTTTTTTGGGACCCATTTTATTCCTCTCAGCAAATGACTGTCAGAAATTCATTTGTTGACATACTATCTTTTTGTCTCAACCATCTGCCAGGAAGGAGTGTTTCTCTCCATTTTCAGATCCTATGACAGCAGCTGTAACATGCAGGCAGAGCCTTTCTTTATAAATGACAGGAATGTCTCTATTTCCAGAGCAAGATCCGGAGGTTTCTGGATCCCCAGAGCTAGAGTGAACCAGTCTGGCTTCAGGGTAGGAAGCTGCAGTTCTCAGAGCCCACTAGTCCATCCGCTCACATTCTCCACTTTTTGAGATCCCAATGCACTGCTGAATACTAGGTGGTCTGTAACTTGCCAAAGTCTGAGTCATAGACTCAATCCAATAATCACAGAAGCTTTGAGTGTCCGGGAGCTTTACAGGTCATCTAGTTCAAAGAGATAGAAATCCTTTCTCCTTGATCCTCCCTGTGGTGCTTTGTCAGGTGACTACAACCTGTGGAGCATCCATGAGAGTTTCACTGTTTCATGGGGCAGCGCTATTTCCTTCCATTCACAGAGCTTCCCCTTCTGTACCAGACCTTGGACTGAGATATGCAGAAATGACTGATCCTTGGGCCTTTCAGGGGCTCAACCTTCTCCTTTTAAGAACTTCCTTCTATTGAGCCATCTACTTCCCTGTTACTCTCCAAAGTGACAATTCTTCGGCTGTGCGAATGAATGTGGTGATCTGTTCTCTGGATTAGATACCTGCTAATTTCCCACTAATCCAGTCACTATAAAATGGTTTCCAGAAGTGGTATTATGCAGAGATTGAAGGCATGGGCTCTGAATTTACACAGATTTGGGTTCAAACACCGTGTTCTACCATTTACCAGGTGAGGGACCTTGAGTAAGTAGCTTAACTTCTTTGAGTTTTAGTTTTCTCTTCTATACCTACCCAATCCAATGGGATTATTACATGAGATACATGAAGTAAGATCCATGGAGTCATTACCTCCATGCCTAGCATATATATTCCATAATGCTCACCATCCTGATTGCCTGTTCCAGGTCTAATCTATATGATACCCCTAATGGACAAAATACTCCATAGTCAATCCAGCCAGTTCAGAGTTCTGTGATGCTGTTACTCCAGATCTGAGGGATGTATGAGGACAGGCAGAGGAAGTAATGTCTGAACTAAAACCTGAATGAGGAGGAGAATTCCGCTTCCTGAAAGGTGAAGATAAGGACGTTTCTGGGAAAAGGGAATAATATGTGCCAAGCCCCAGAAATGACAGAGAGCACAGTTTAGTGAGAGTGCATCAGTGTGGCTGGAGCAGGGAATTGGAAGAACAAAGTGGTAAAGGAAGACAAGGCCAGCCATTTAAGCAGAGGGTGTTGTGAAGGGCTTTATAAGGTATAATAAGTAATTGGAATGTTATCCTGAGGACCCTGTGAAGAGTTATAAGTACAGACTGCCAGCCCCCTCAAGAACTTTCTTTTGAGAGAGAATTTGGAGGCCTTCATATTCTGATGATTCCTACAGCATGCAATAAAATACCACTAAGACTAGTTTCCTAGGCCCCCTCCTCTCACAGCCCCTTCCTTGCTTCAGGCTAATCTTCAGGTAACACTGAGTCTTGAACAAGGTCTCAGTAGGGCTTCTTTGGTGCTCTCCAGGGTCCTGACCTCACCTTTCTAGTATCTTCGCTTCTTCACACAGTCTCCCTGAGCGCTGGCCATCTGCAACTAGACTAAATATTCTCAGTGGGGATGATGTAGCCCCCAAAGGGGTGAAAATAGTTGCCTTCAGGGCAAAACAACTCTGCTTAGCTATTTCTATAGCTTTTGGATCTCCAAAGGACCCTAATACTTGAGCTAATGTAAAAAATGTATGCGATATTAAAATTTAATTAGGGTGTAGGGTGATTAGGAAAAAATGTCTAAAGAGGCTCCTGGGTTAGGGTACAATGCAAAAATGTTAAGAAACACTAGACTATATCTACTTTAATTTTGCTGGTTAGTGTGCTGACTAAACTCTTCTGCCTAAGGATAGGGATGCAAGTCCCAGCCATTGAATCTGGCATAAAGCAGAATGGCTATTGTTCTATCAGGATGCTGTCTTCTAAGAACTGCCATGATATCTGGTTGGATATGTACTGTATCAATTTACTTTTTTCCCCATCAGTTCCTGAGACTAGATTTGGCTGCTACAGGACCCGTATTTGGCATTAAGCAATGGCATAATGGAAAGATCAGGATATTGGAGTCAGAAAAACTAGATTCAGGTGCCAGCTCTTCTCCTTACTAGTTTTGTGATTTTAAGTACTTCCTTGTTGGTAGAACAAAGATAATAATACTTATGGAGATAACGTATAAAGAACCTCACACAATCATTGATAGTACTTATCTTTGTGTTAAGGGGATTTCCAAATACTTGAACTTTTAGTCTGCTGATAAAAAAGTACCTTTCAAGAAAGAAGCAAGTCTGAAAAGACTATATACTGTAGGATTCTGACTATGTGACATTCTGGAAAAGGCAAAACTATGGAGATAGTGGAAGGACCCCTCACCTCCACACACACAGAACCAGGGTGGTACCTGTTATGACTGATGAAGTTATGTTGCCACGTCGTCATCATCCAAAGTCCATACTTCACATTATGGTTCACTCTTGGTGCTGTATATTCTATGGGTTTAGAATGGAATTCTCCAGGCTAGAATACTGGAGTGGGTAGCCTTTCCCTTCTCCAGGGGATCTTCCCAACCCAGGGATCAAACCCAGGTCAATCTACCTGCATTGCAGACAGAGTCTTTACCAGCTGAGTCACCAGGAAAGCCATAGACCATAGCATATGATTGATGAAGTTATGTTGCCTCATCATCATATTGTGTACTTTCACTTGGAATTATATCATAGTTCCTCATGTTTCTAAGTGTTTTTTATATTTTCATGACTACAGTCACACCACAGTTAACTAAAACATTTCTCCTGTTATTTCAGTATTTGCCTAGAATAGGTAAATATATCTATACTTGCTGCTTTTTTTCACCACTTTTGTTGAATGACCTCCTTGAAATTTCCAGGGAGAGAGGTTACTATGCCAAAGGCAGGAATGCCTTCTTAGTACTTGCTATGTGTTGTTATTTTCCCTCTGTAAGCAACCATATAAATTTATTATACTGCTAGCATTGTAAGATCACACCAATTTTGTCACAAGTTTGTTAACATTGAATATTCTTATTTATAATTTTTATTATTAAATAGGCATAACAGTACAGTTTGCCTTAATTTATTTGTCTTTGGTCACTAGTGAGGATAGACAGCTTTCTCATGTTTTAATATATTATGTGTGTTTATTTTTGTATAAATTGCATAAGAAATACATTTTAAGAAGAGCAAGGAATAAGATTGGGGGT